TTGGAGAAGCTTCCGCCACAACTTATTTCAAAAATGTGATCCCAGATGGGTGCATACACCCTGACCCCCATGCATTTATAGAGGTTAACAGTGCTTACTAGTCCAAAGCAAGATCTTGCATTTTTTTTACCTTCAAATCCTAGCCTAAATAATTTAACAATTTCTCCAATAATTCAAATCTTTGTCATATAGAAACATCAACGTCATCTATATTTAAAATTGCCTCGATAAGATGAATCACGAATGTAATAAAACTCATAAAAAAGCACCACACATTAACCACAATGGAATCTATGAGTGTATTGGGACTAGTATAAGCATGCACGCGCGCATGCACACACACACATTGTGTTGGTTGGGGGTGAAAGAGCATAGTTTTGAAAATCGACTGTTACTAGGCCGGCCGTGTTATGTAACTCTACTGGTACTTGGTAGCCTCCAATATCGTTACATCCCGATTTAGTAGTTAGAAATGTTTTCACCCATAACAGGTGTTACAACCTCATTTCAGTGCCGTAATAATCTGTTATGTATCTCATTCTTCACCTATCTTTGCTTTTCTAAAAAGTTAAGAAAAAAAATTTAGTAGCAGAAGAAGCATGGTGTCCAAATACCAAATCTTGCTTAAAAGAAGCGGAAGAAGGTATTAAGGGGGAGAGAGGGTTGTAGATTTGGAAACGAAACATACCTGAAGTTGAAGATAAGAGTATTTGAGTCTTGTAAATGAAAACAAAATTTAGTACCGTCTTTAAACATTCTTGTTCTTCGAAATATTGCTGAATATTTGAAGTCCAAAATTTAACTACTTTTGTGTAGAGTCTAGAGACTGTAGTTGAAGGATGGTTTGAAGTTCTATAACGGATGATATAAGGAAGAAGGAGAAGTGGGGGAAGATTAGGTGTGATGCACTTTACGCAAAATTCAAGTAAGAGTGGCTATTATTGGTTGCTTTTCATCAATCCATACCAACCACAAAATATATTTATTTGATGCCCGTTTATATTGAGTTTTTATGGACTGAATGCCGAAAAACAAAATCACGCTCTTGGTTTCATTACTATTACGTTATTCTATGTCTGTACCATTATCATTACAATGTCGTTACAACCATAGGAAGGAGGAATATAAGTAGTTAGACAACAAAAGGAAGATTAGACAAAATTAAGTATCATGTCCTATATCCTAGGCACATCATAAGTGTCCGTCCCCTTTTTCCAAACCAATTGTCGCAGTTCCATCTCCATTAGACAGTTCTTTGCAACCTCCATCTATTTTTTTTGTAACGTATCCAACTATGTTTAGTACACCTGGTGTTTGGATTTGGAAGTTGCAGAGGTTATTTTAACTCTTTTTTGTAATCAATGCCCATGAATGCCCTAAGGTACTTTCTCACAAATAAGTAGTGTATAGTATATCTTTTCATATTTTTCCCTAAGAACCACATGAGATGAAATAAATTTTGCCTTGTTATTAGGAAAACTATAAAATGATATTCAACAATTTCATCTGCAATAAAACAAACAATACTATTTTTCAATTCTTGATCATCAGAAAAATGACATTTTCGAGATGATGCCAAATAGAACTCAAACGAAAAAAAGGTGTACACCGAAGTGATATGGGTCTAACTCACAACCTTCAAGCATCTTATGGCTAACTCATCTCAGGCTAAATCGTTCTTAGTAGGCGATTAGTCCTCCTCATTTATTTCAAACTCCTTGCAAGGTGTTGTCTTCTTTTTCTGACATCTGTTACTATAGACTTTGCATTAGGGTTTCCTATTGTACCAATCCAGCCTCCACAACTGGCATTATTGGCACAATAGCACCAATAGAGACTACTATTGGAGTGACCAGTACTTCTTAGGCAACAAAGTTGGTAATAGGTGCTCGTGCATTCTCTATTTTTTCTTGCACTCCTACCACTCTCATTTTTTGTAATATCTAACTTCTCTTGATCTTGCCCCACTCATGGAACCTCCTCCCAAGATGGTAAAGAAAGACATAGCAGCGAACGAGATGTCATCACTACTTGATTTGAAAAATGTCAAATGCATGCAGTTGTACCCCAATAAATATAGAGACTACCATCGTGACTCGAATTTGTGACGCCCAAGTCTACAACCTTGTCATTGCATTCAGACTTGTCCTCTGACCATAACAAACATTTAAGTCTCCATTATTGGCTTCCAATAGGGTAATATGGGTACATACTTAACATTTGATATTATTTGCACAAAAAGCTACCCTCATGTTTGAACTCTCAATCTCAAGGTTATTGGGTCAATTTGAGGAGGTGCAATGTTTTAAAACTATTATTTGTCTTTCTAAGGCTAAAATGATTTTTTTGTGGTGAAGAAAGCACATAGCTAATGAAAGGGAACATGCATGTAATGAAAACGTTAGAAAGCATGTCAGATAGTTATTATACAATGTAGGGCACTAAGTGAAAATAATATTTGCATTAAGTTGGCTATGACCTCTGAACTCCTAGTCTCCTAACGCTCGGAAAACATCAAGCTAGATTATGATATTGAGAATTGTTTCTCTTTGTGAGTCTTTGTCTCCAAGTATTTAAAGTTTGGTGTACTTGAAGTTTCTTGTTTTCCCTTTTCTCCTTTTAAAATGGGCTGGTGACTTACCTAATATAAATCATGCACCCTTTTTAGAGGTGGAGGTTGATGATGAGATACATGACTTTGCTGTACCATGCTTTCCTCAAATTGCTACTCCTTTTCTTGGTTTCCTTGAAGCTACTCTTAAAGTACAATTACTAGATCTGTGTTACAAAATTTATTGTTAATTTAGTGGAATTATTGGCTTGCAAAATTTAGGAGTTGCTAACTTGTTGATTTAGAAAGAAATGAATCACTACATAAAATGTATAAGTATTGAAGGAAGAAGAAAGCTGTCAATGAGGGGAGATATTAGGACTTAGGAGGAAACTTCATTCTTGAGGATTTCTCTAATGTTGGTTTTTTGTTCGGGATCTGTAGCATTAGCACCACAATGGTGGTTCTGCGGAAGTTATGTCATTCACGTTTGAATTTCAAAAAGTCCAGCGATAATGGTGGAAGCTTGCGCAACTAATGTCTCTTCCTTTTCCTTTCGGAAGTGTCCTCAGATGTTTAGGAAACCGTTCAACTTCAACAAAAGGGGTATTTTAGACTTTCATTATAGTATCTGGACTATTTTACGGATATTTTTAAAAAGTGATACTTTTTACCTAATATTTCTAATAATATGTACTGGCCCCCTTAATTCCCTTTTTTGTTAGGAAAAACAGGGGTCGGTACACAATATTAGAATTATTAGGGAAAAAATACACTTTTAAAAAATATTTGTAAAAAAGCCCACCCACTATAGCTAAAGTCTAAAATAACTCTTTTTCAATTTAAAAAGTTTACTACTTGTCTAAGGAAACCAACGGAAAGAATGGGAAGAGATAGCAACTGCTCACATGTCTCCACCATTGGCGCCGAAGTTTCCACGATTTGAAGACAAATATTTGAAATCAAACGGTACATAAATATCTAACCCAAACACCATTCTTGGGTGTCAGATAAATTTATTATTATTGAGGGTTTCACTGTGAAGAACACACACCGTCGTCATCATTGGAATTTATTGAAAATGAGGGTTTTGTCATTGTGACGCCAATGTCATATTGCTTGTAAAATACATATGTAGGGTTGGATCATTGTGGGCATTATAATCTGACATCAATATCCACTGTATATACACAACATATGCAGATTTTGACATATGAAAAGTATCATAGTGTAAGTCAGAGATTGGCACATTCTTGACATCACAATGTTGTATCAATGTCATATTATATATAGACACCATAAACAGGGTTTGCACATGGATGGTATCACACTGTGACTCCAATGTAACACTTCAAATACACATCATATAAATATTCAAAAACTTAGGCAGAGGAGAGTAAGGATGGGAGAAAGAACGAGTTTGAGAGAGAAAATAGAGATAAAAATTAGGGAAAGAGAGAAAAAGAGAAAATAGAGAGAGAGAAAAAAAAATAGGAAATTTTTTTAAAAACTAATGGAATCCTTTCAAAATTTAAAATAGTTAATTATCCTTTAATTTAGGAAACCACTTAACCAATAAAATAGAATAAAAAAAAACTAATAATAAAGAAATGGCTAATAAAACGAAGAGTGTTGTTTTCAAAATTTCAGTTGTTGAATGAACAAGGGAGATGTAGTTCAAAATTCAGACGTGCTGTTCCCAAAAAAATACAAAACTGAATCCCACAATTAATTGAAATTTTTTTTTTTACGTAAATGAAATATTTAAAAAATAGCCAAAGTGTATATATTCACAAAATATTTACACAGAAAAAGACTTATACACAAAAAAATTTATATTAAGGTTCTTTCTCACAAATAAGTAGTGTATAGTATACCTTTTCATAATTTTCCCTAAGAACCACATGAGATGAAATAAATTTTGCCTTCTTATTAGGAAAACTATAAAATGATATTCAACAATTTCATCTGCAATAAAACAAACAATACTATTTTTCAATTCTAGATCATCACAAAAATGACATTTTCGAGATGATGCCAAATAGAACTCAAACGAAAATAAGGATGATATCAATACTAATTTCTTTCTACGATTATTGTATCATGAATAAAGGAGAATGGCTAATGTGCTACATACTAACAATGCACAATCCAACCATTTCAATTCCCAAGTGGCTGAGTAATCAACTTTTATTCCGCTAACACAAGCATTTTTCACAAAACAATTAAAACCACAACGAGGGGAAAGGAACAACAAACAAGAATAATCCCACCCTCAAATTTCAACTTCTCCTCTTTTGAAGGTCTAATCGGTGCTTCTAAGAAATGGATAATCAGTGTAGCCAATAACAGGATCAGGTATGTAAAATGTTTCTATGTCGTACTTATTCAGATGAGCATTTAGCTCGAATCTCTTTGGCAAATCTGGGTTGGCCAAGAACAAACGACATTAAACAACAAGATCTGCACGGTTTTCAGCCATAGCTTTGATACCATCTTCCCTATTATAGCCCCCTGCGACAAGGAAAGTACCATGAAATGCCTTTCTCATGGGCAGAAGACTGTGGGGGCAGTCGCTTTTTTCTCCAACAGTTACCATCCTTGGCTCAACCATGTAGCAGTAGAGAATACCGTATTTATTCAATGATTCAGCCATATAAAGACCCAGGGCTTTAGGATTTGAATCTCCTGATTCCATGTAATTTGCAAAAGGAGATAGCCTAAGGCCAACTTTATCTGCTCCTATCTCATTACTGATAGCTTCAACAATTTCTAGAGCGAACTGACAACGGTTCTCCAGAGACCCTCCATACTCGTCAGTTCTGTCATTGACTTGATCTTTCATAAACTGGTCTATTAGGTAACCATGAGCCCCATGGATTTCAACACCATCAAAGCCTATAAATCAAACAGAAAATATCAACTCATAAAACAAATGCCTTCCAATATGTATACAACATACACGTATAAATGCCAGTGCGACAAATAAATGAAGTACAGAATGTAAAGCTCTGCTTGGTCTTTGTGAGAGAGGCATTGAGGTCACATTTTGATGAATATCAAGACCATGAAATATGTAAAATATGATTGTGGATGAAGAACTATAATCTTCTCCAAACAGGCGAGCATATTTGTCCCTTTCCTAGGGAGATTTTGATGGAAGTTTCTTAGGCTTTAGAGCATCTCCAACCATGACTCAAATTTTTACTCAAATTTAAATTAATATTTGAGTAAAAAGCTTAATTTGATATAAAAGACTCCAATGGACAAACTTAAATTTAAAGAAGGAGATACCAAAATTTAAATGAGGGCAAACCCAAATTTAAAAGGGAGTAAGGATGAGTATAAATCTAACATTTGGCATTATAGCACAAGCTGGCCGAATTGAGATTTGTTAGTTTTGAGGATCTTATCATTGCCATGGGCAGCGACCAATTACAAAAATAAACAAAAAATTGGCGAATTTCAAATAATATGGCTCCTCTCCTTTACATGTTTTTCTCTTTCATCACTGTTACTTTGTCATCAAAAAGTTTTCTCCTCTTTTTTTTTTTGGTCTTTGCTTTCCTCTCGAAGATGATAGATTTGTGACTTTTAACCTATGCAATAGAATCACTGGGAATACAACCAATGGAAATGTACCCCTTAATATTTTCGAATGGATCATGGCCAATCTATAAATCATTTTTTTTTCATTCAAAGGACCATTAAACAAATTCGAATTCAAACTTGTCAAATTACATATAAATAAATTTCGTCAATTAATCAAAAATTTACGATTTCAACTCAATTACATCACATTCGTACATCTAAAATTCAATTCAATTTTATCACATAATTATCAATTCAAAAAAAATATCATCAAATAATCCAACAAGTTTAGTTCAATTCACGTCCAATTTCATCAAATAGTCAAAACCATTTTGGGTAGATTCATAATAAAATTACCTAATGCACCAGCTAGCTCCATTATTGTCAGACAATCAAAATCATTAAAAACAAGTGACTCAACAATGGATATTAAGACCTAGGAAGGATGGACACGGACACGGATACATGTGTCATATTCAATACAATAAGAACACGAGAATACGACAAAGTTTCAAAATATAGGAGACGGGTACGGCAATGATACGGCTAATTAAAATTATATTATATATTTTTTATATAAATAATATTAATAATAAGGCCTAAAAATCATTGAGTAGTTGGTTAACATCTTACAATAATTAAGTAATGGACTAATATAATAGAATTAGGCGATGGGTTTAACACTAAGTGGGCTGTGTAGAATGGAGGCTGTGAATTAATTTATTTAACAAATAATGAATAAGTTATACAATACTAATAAACAACGCATCTGTTCAGTTGAGAGAAAGAGAAAGAGAAAAGAAAAAAGAAAAAAGTGTCCATCTAGGGCACCGACATAGATGCAGCCGGAGAAGAGAAAAGTTGGAGAGAGCAAGAAGAAGAAGGAAAAAAGCAGATCCAAAGCTACAGAATGTCCCTCCGTCTCTTCTTCTCTCTCTGTCGACGATCTATTCTTTTTCTTTCTTTTTTTTTTCCAGGCCCTCATTCTCATATCCCTCCTTTATCTTTCTCGAATCCAAATTTTTTTTTTTTCATTTCAAGTGTCGGACACTTGTCCAACCGTGTCCCATGCGTATCTGTGTCGGACACGTGTTTGACACTGCTACATCAATCGTCGCTAAAGTATCTGTCACTAGATGCTAAATTGAAGACCAAGGGGACGACAGGGGATTTAGCCCAAATCACGACGTTGCAGAATAATATTGCAATGTTTTGGAATTATAAGTCGGATAATTTGGCCGAGTTGTCCGAGATGTTTCTAAGTCAACCTCGAATTGAGTGCCTTGTGCTTTACACATAACGTTCATCAGAATCGAGTCAAACACGACTCGGTCGAGTTGTATCGCTTTGAACCATGCACCATAGGCAACACTTGCTTCACTAGAGACTAAAATACAATTGGCATCAAATCTAAACCGCATCAAGTTAATATAAACTTGACCCATAGTACGATTACTTATTATCTCAATCATTCAACATGGGTCTCTTTAAAACTCGTTCAAAAGTTTCTCCCTCCCTCTCTCTGTCTCTGTCTCTCTCTCTCTCTTATATATCTCCTTAGAACTTGCTGATGGACACCATTTACCTTGCCTAGTTTCAAGAGGAGCTAAACATTTTGTCAAAAACTGAAATTTAGATTGAAAAGCTTACCAGCTTCCATAGCATTCCTTGCAGCAATTCTAAAATCATTGACAACTCCAGGAATTTCATGGGTACTTAATCGTCGTGGAGGTGAAAATTCTGCAACATAAACACCACTGGCTCAAACTTGGGGAGTTAATGGCTTGTCTGTGCAAGAGATAGGAGGCTGTCCATTTGGCTGAAAACCTGCACAGGGCCATCGGATAAATAGGTTTAGAAGAGATGCAAATGTGATATAGTTCTCAAAATTCAATACAGTAGGCTGGATTACGGTTAAAGATAACAAGAAATTATTAGAGTTAGCGAAAAAAAGTTACCAAATGGGTGAAACAGATGTATCCCAAACAATGCGAAAAAGTTCATTTGTTAAAATCTCATACAAAGACCCTCCACTTTTTGAAAAATCAAAAGAAAGTCACGTAAAATGACCTTTCCCATGCATGGCATATATCAATTTTATTTTTTTTTTCATGTCTCACTAACTCATAATTGTCACCTCAAAATTCCTGATTCCAGATGGCAGATTTTTGCAGCACAGATCCCTTTTTTAATAGGCATTGAATCACTTGAAAATTTTGGAGTCATAAAATCGTAAATGGTGTTCATTTATTAATCAACCAGTGATCAAGTAGACAACAAAATGAAGGTAGGTCAAGAATGTACCTTGATTAGAAACTCTCCCTACATGCCAAATCTGACAAAAGAAGATTCCACCTTTGGCATGAACAACATCTACAATGGGTTTCCAAGCTTCAACTTGTTCTTTTGTCCATATACCGGGTGTTTGCGGATACCTTTATTTAATTCAAAATCTTAAGTGCCCATGAAACTATGAAGATAGGAAAGGATATTCTCAAGTGTATTTATATCGTTCAGCAAGTCAAACCAACACAAGCAGAGGTATTTTATAGTTACCCTTGGGCTGTGTCAGAAACACCGATGGCTTCCGCTATGAGAAGCCCTCCCTTGGTGGTTCTCTGGGAGTAATATAGGATAGCATGTGGCTGTGGAACATTGTTGTAAGATCTCATCCTTGTCAGCGGGGCCAAAACAATTCTGTCAGAAATTGAAGAAAACAAATAAGTTCACAGCATAATCTTTAAAGTTTCCCACCCAACTGGAGTACTAAAGCAGCAGAACTAAGCATCGTTTGCTCATTGGAAGTCTAAATAATTACTTCCACCAACTACACTACCAAGGTTTGGTTGGAAAAAGAATACCAAATAGAAATGTAATCAAAATAAGGAAGAAAAATCCTGAAACAAAAAATACAAACCACAAGATTTGCAACTATTGCTTATAAATACTTGGGCAAGTCAACGATACGTTATTCTCCAATATGAAAATGCATGCACCCATGTATGGAACCATGTGTAGGCCAAGAAGGGGGAGAGGGCGGGGGCATGGCCCCCTCATTTGTTCAAAAATCTCTGCAACCCCTTTTGGCTTTCATAAATCTATATTTTTCCTCTTAGGTTTTCAAAAACACTATCTATATTGTATTTCACTCAATATGTTAAAAAGCTTAATGTGATGGCATTTAATTACCAAATAGGGATGTAATCGCATGGATCAGTATTACTCTTATAGGCAAATGCACTTGCTTGAATGAGTTTGATGATCAAAGGAAAAAAAACAAGTGAAATTACTACACAATCGGGATAAAAATGTGGCTTATATTAAAAGAGTAATGCTAGACCGACCAAAAAACAAGCTCAAATTAAGTAACAAAATGATGTGACACTAATGAGTCGGTGCTAACTAGCTAGATATTTAGACTAAAATTTAAGTGCATTAAATCAAAATTTAAAACAAAAGTTCAAAATTTAAAATGAGCTTAAAAGTTTTGGTCCAAGAATTAAGCCGTAAAATCAAAATTCTTGTTGAATATTTAGATAGGTAAGAGTCATTTTACGGATTTTATTTTGTATAGGTAAAAATCATTTTTACGGTAGCATGATCTTATGAAAATTGATTTAGAAAGGTTTTACACAAGTAAATATATGTCAACAACAATAACTTTTTGAATATCCTGTTCAATAAAATTTGTTCACTATGTCAATATTTGGCCTCGCTCAGGATAAAGTCATGGTTCCATCACTGCATGCACCACGGAGCACAAACAATCAATTGCTCTTAACATCTGCCAATGACTACTTGTGAGATGAATGATGAAAAAACAGAAAAACATTCAACAATTTATCTGTCTTACAAGAGCATATGTTGTAAATGCCAAATATTACCATATAATAGTTTCATAGAATTTCAGTGAAGCTATCCTATTCGTGAACAATAAACTCTTGTAGTTTTTGTCTATTTCGATCAGCATCTGCAACTTAGGAAATATAAAGGGGAGTGCATACTCATACTGCACACACGTACACACACAAACAGAGAGAAGGAGCAGGGGTAGGACAGAGTGGTAGTAATGTTGTAACATACTCATCATTTAGATGTTCACCGTCATATGTTCTTTGAATAATGATGTTTGAGAAAATGGATAAAGAAGATGAAATGATCAAACATTATAGTATGAGAAAAAGCAAGCCACAAGTAGAGAAAAGTAATATAAGGTACATTCATCTCAAAATTTGGGGAGAATGCCTATTACTTAGATGCAGCCTTCCCACCTCATGTTGCTTATTATAGACAATTAATCTTCCCAAAATCTATATATAAACTATAAAAAATTGTAGGTAATTTAGTAAGTCTAATAAATATTCGCAGTGTCTTCTCTTCTTTTGCAGTGGTAAACACACCGCATTTGCTATTACATAGATGGAGAATAAAAAATGGGAAGCAAAGGTTGAAAGCAAGAACTTATATATAGATATCCATCCGATCACTCTTTTCCGCCCAATCTGCCAACAACTTCATTTTATGCTGTTATAGTATCTATTTAACTCTTTTTACGCACTGACACAGAGTAAACAAACAACATGAGCAACTGCATAGATTACGGACAGGACAATGAATTGGAAACAAATGCAGAAAGCAAGTACCTCTTGGTCTCTGACATGAGCATTTTCAAGTGTTAAACGAAATGGTCAGGTTCTGCTAGTGTAATTAAAATTGCAATATGGCATGGAAAACATTAAATGCATTTGATAATCATAAACTAAAAAACAAATGGTATTATTGTTAAAGTCTTTAGGTCACGTAGTCTTTTAAAGGTCAAATCTAGAAGTTTTTAGTTCACAAATATAATAGCGCCACAAAATGTGATATTATGGAGTGCACAAATAGCGAGATTAAATCTAAATGAAGCCAGAGATTCTTTGAGGATATTGTTTCGAGAATGTCTTTACACACTGACACATATTGGAAGTACACTCTTGTTAAAAGAATTATACTTACAAAAGAAACTGAAGAAGAGGAGTCAATGTGTCCGGTTTTAGATATTAATTGAATAATCCACTAAACACTCGGAGAGTTTTCATTAACTTTTTTTGTTTTCGGTCTAAACAAACATTTACATCTTCAAGAATAATTGAGTTTCAATGGAATTTGATTTTAATATCATTTAATAAAACATGAATTATTGAATTAGGCTCAAATTAGTGGACATATATACCTATCTGTCTAATACAATCAAATTGTTAGGAGAGAGTTTAACAAGGCTTCCTTTACCAATTCCTTGATTCTCATAGTTCTGATTACCTAAACTTAAACAAAAAAACAAAAAAAAAAAACACTGTTCATCCAATCAAAAACCGCTGTCTTCAAATTTCCACTCCCTCTTCTGTTTTAATTTCTCTCATTCCTCTACTATTCTCTCTTAACACTAGTAGACATTACACTAATTGGGAGGATGGAGACAGAGAGGAGAGGATGAAATCCCGCAAACCGCAAAAGTCGGCCACTAGTGTTTGTATATATACACAATCAGATTAGGGGGAGAGGGCTTGGGAAGGCCTTCCCCCCCGTTTGCTTGATTATCCTCCCTGTCACTTATTTAATTAAGAAACAATTTCCTTCCAATCAAATTCTTTCACATTGTGCACATAACAACCACTCAGTCCTCCAACTTTCACTCCCTCTTCTCTTTCAAATCCTCAAACAGTTTCCCTCTGCTAAAAACACCAAAACAGTGAACATAGAGCGTTCACCTGTATCTTAAATTTTGTTCATGAAATAACAAATCAATTGAACTGGTGAAGTTCAGAAAGAAGAGATACCTGTGGGAAAGTTGGAATTTTCCCATTTGTGTGGAGTGAGAAGAGGGATCTGGTGGTGTGCACTTCATCTTGAGCTTCTTCTTTCCTCCCCATTACTCGGTTTGTGTCTCTTCTGTACTAACTGATAATAGGCGAATGAATGAATAATCAATACTTCACAATAACCAAATAAACTGGTTATTTATAGAGAGAAATTTTGCAAACGCCAACCACTGTTCTTTGTCGTTGCGACCAGAGCTATCAAAGTTGAAAAGAGAGATACGTACAACCATTTGGGTTCCATGCTTGCTTGACTTAATGGCGGAAACATTTTTCGTATTAATTGTTCAGGTGGAAGTGGCTCAAGGAGGTTGAACAAGTGGTATAAATTAAAAGTAATGTTACGTTGATTAAATTTTAGAACTAAATTTAGAACTCAAATGATATAACATATTATTTGAAGTCTTTGTTGAACCCAAATGACATAACACCAATTCATGAAAACCCAAATCAACTGTCATATCATTTGCGTTTTAAATTTGATCCTAAAATTTGATCAGTGTAATATTACTGATAATTAATTATAGGCAAGTCGTGGTTGTCTATTAATATATGTAT